AGCCTTGTATGTAAATTTCGGGGGCTCTCTCTATCTTTCAGATTGAGGCAGGCTCTTTTAAGCAAAATATCAGTTTCCCTGCACTTGCAATTAATCTTACTCATCTATCTTATTTCTTCACTCCTCTTTTAGTTAGAAAACCCTTTAAGGGAGCATCCCCTTGCGCCCTCTGCGCCCCCTTTTTTGCTGACCGATCTTTTTGTCTTTTTTTATAACTTCATCTGAAGCCTTTTATACTTTTACTTTTTAAAACCCAAGGGGTTTGAACCTCTTTTGTTTTCCCCCACACACACCCATACCTCTATCTTCTTCATTTTTTTTAAAATCAAAGGCATTTCACCCCAATGCCTATTTTTAATAAATTAATTAAAAAATTAATTTATAATATATTTGATAAAATTTTTGGGGGGGGGGGGGGGGTTTTGGGTTCTTTTTTAAAATTGTGAAAAAATTATTTTTATTTTGGAAATGTAATATGAGGGTTTTAGATTAAGAAATTTTTGTGATGATTATAATTTTTTTTTCCCAATTTATTTAATGAGAAGAAAAAGGGGAATTAAAATTACCATTTAAATTTGGAAAACCCTCCAGGGAAGAATCCCCATTTTTTTTTATAAAAAAGAAAATATATTTTACCGGGTAAAACAAAATTCGAACCTCCATTAGCGGGGGCTGTACCCTTCCCTTTCACGGGCCCCGAAGTACTTCATCCTAAAAACAAAGAAGCGATTTCCCCTACCTTCAGATCTTCATTTTTTTAACTTTCCTTACTCGATGCCCCCTCCCATTACGGGAACCGTCCCCACTTACAGGGCTGACTGCACCTCATGCGGGTAGCCGTTGCAACCCCCCCCACTACAGCCTCCTCACACGAGAGACAGACTGCACCTCACGCTAGAAGCCTCTTTCCCCACAACTCCACCACCTCACACTCTCCCCAGACCCATTGAGGTGGCCTTTCACCTCCTAATCCCTCCTGGAAACAAGACCTCCTCCTTCAACTCTCCAACCTCAATTTTTAAAACACTGCAAACAAGCCATGCTTTTTAACCGTCCACACTATCGCGGGCAGGGGAGGCTCTAAGCCGAGTTACTCAAAGTTTGTATCGCATTTTACCCCTCGAGGGGGGTTCCTTGACGCTGGGAGGGCTCTTGATCTAAGAATTGGATCTGTGCTCCGGTTTCCCTTAAAAAGCTTTAAACTTTCCATCCCCCCCCCACCACACACGTCGCTATAACCCATAGGTTTAGGGGCCCCCCCCCATAATTATAAAATAATAATAAAATGTATCACATTTCTAGTCTTTTGCTGAATAAGAACTTTTGGCAGCAAAAAATGAGGGGAAAAATTTTTGGTTTGTGACAGGAATTCCCCTCAATGGAGCGAAAAATATATTGGGGCTTTGGTCAGCGTTCTGCACATGACAACTACATACTACTATTTAAAACATGAAATGATATGCGCAAGAGTGCTTTGTTGATACCCTGGTCGGGAAAATCTGAATGTCCCTTGGTTGCAGGTAAAGATTTTGTTCAGACTACCCGATATAGGATTTTGGGGGAGATTTTCGACAGGTTTTTTCCGAAATAAGAGCGAGGGTAGCAGTACAGGGTCCTTTATCAGTTACAGGTTTTAGGTCCTTGGGGAGGGGTCTGGGACCGATCATCCTATTTACGAACGATCAGAAAATCAACGCACTGCAGGGGGAAAAAACCCGGAATCATGGTCAAGGTTAGCGAAGGTTTTGAAGTATCAAAAGGGGTCAACGGAACTTCAGCACCGAGTCGGGAACGAGGTGTTCAAAACGTAATAGATCCGGAAAGATCCCAGACTGCCTGGTTTTTGTTAGGATGCCGCCGAGGAAAAGGTGCATAATATTTTTTTTTTCAAAAATGAGGGGGGGGGGGTATTAGTCAGGAAAAAAAAAAAAAACCGCATATCGCCTCCCCCCCTCCAAGAGGTCCTCACGCGCCCGGAGTCAAAGGTACATGGAACCCGCTCCCTGCCCTACCCTTCATGCCACTGAACTGGCAAACCAGGATAGTAACCTTACATCCACCCAGCCATCTTGGCAGACATAAGAAAGGGTGGTCGGAAACCTGCTGAGAGATATACTCACTTTGGCTGCCACCACCAGGAGCCGACAGGCAGCCTCCAGAAATAAACTGATGTCGAAACTTCAATCAAAATTTGTTACTTTGTGTATATTTCTTTGAGTGTTTTGTATGTTTTAAGTTTTTAACGCCAGATTTTCCCTTCAACTATAAAGACCTGCCTCGTGTGGGTTGGTTATTCACATTGTTTGGTAAGCAATGTAGCATATGTTAAAGAAGTATATATTTCCCAACTGTTTCCCCCCCCCCCCAAAAATGAACATCGGCAATCAAGAATGCATTATAAACCGGTTTAGAAAAAGCCAGTTTTCTGATGCTTGAATCTTTTGCCGGATACAGTGGAAGTTTTACCACTTATGTACTGAAGCTGCAAGAAAAAAAAAGATGGTAGTTCCCTTCATAATGTATTATATTAAATGTAAGAGTAATGTTAAGGCCCCTCAAGCATGTGAGAAGTGTCTTTATCAAAGGAATTTTAGCTTCCCTACCCTTCTTGGCCCAAACCCAATTACCGCCCATTCCCCATGCGCTCTGTGTCCCCTTACGGTTTTAGTGCTTTCCTAAAAAATATAATAACATCACATCAAATATGAAAACCAACACATGGTTTCGGCGCATCTCAAGTTGTCTACATTATGAAAGTGTTTTTTTTTTTCATATACGACACTCACAGACCCTTTTCCAGGCATAGTTTTAGAATACGTAGTTTCGGCTGTACAAGTTTTGTTTTCTTCTCACCTCTGGAAATCAAGACAGATTATCAGATTTAATGGTTTGTAATTTTGTAGCATGAGGAGGTGAAGACTGAGACATCATGTGTCTCAGTCATTCTGATGTAAAATGTTTAGAAAACCGGTAAGTTGAAGAATGAGACACTTGTGCAGCATTTGGTGATTTTTATTGTGGAAACATTTCGCCAACCGCGAAATGCTTCCACAACAAAGATTCCCGAATGTTACACAAGTGTGGGCCTGGTCATGGACCGGGCCGCGGGGGCGTTGACCCCTGGAACACCTTCCAGGTATTCTTCAGTCATTCTGGGTACAGTCAATGTAGCCAATGTTACATTGGTTTCAAAGGACAAGATTTTTACATTAATCTTAGTTTCATCAGAGTTGGTCAAGACAATGAAGACTGACCATCTAGCATTCAAACACAGTTTAGGAAAGTAGGTCAAACCAGGTGAGGACAAAATTTAGAAAGTTACATTCGTAGGTCCACAAATTCGCTGACTCATAGATGACAACGATTTGCAGCTGACAGTGGATGACGTGGAGTTAGAAGTCTGGTATTCAAGAACATCAACTACAAAGCGCTGGTTAACTATTGCAAAGCTGCCAGCAACTGGTCTGCAACTAGTCACGACTGAGCTGCAACATGCCACTCAAAGCTGCATTTCCCCCCACTCACATATGCCTTTTTTTTTCCCCTAACAGTCAATCTGACGTGAAATTAGACATATACAACACCTGGGTATCTCTTTACTGTGGAAACGTTTCGCCACACTGTGACTTCATCAGTCCAGTACAGAGAAGAATGGTGAAGATCAGGAGTTTGAGAATACAGTATATGCGCGAAGGGACTTATATATTTTGCATATGTTGTATACTGCATATGTTGTATACTGCATATGTTGTATACTGCATATGTTGTATACTGCATATGTTGTATACTGCATATGTTGTATACTGCATGTGTTGTATACTGCATATATTGTATACTGCATGTGTTGTATACTGCATATGTTGTATACTGTATATGTTGTATACTGCATATGTTGTATACTGCATATGTTGTATACTGCATATGTTGTATACTGCATATGTTGTATACTGCATATGTTGTATATTGCATATGTTGTATACTGCATATGTTGTATACTGCATGTGTTGTATACTGCATATATTGTATACTGCATGTGTTGTATACTGCATATGTTGTATACTGCATATGTTGTATACTGCATATGTTGTATACTGCATATGTTGTATACTGCATATGTTGTATACTGCATATGTTGTATACTGCATATGTTGTATACTGCATATGTTGTATACTGCATATGTTGTATACTGCATATGTTGTATATTGCATATGTTGTATACTGCATATGTTGTATACTGCATATGTTGTATACTGCATATGTTGTATACTGCATGTGTTTTATACTACATATGTGCATATGCTGTATTATCAAGGGTCATCTTTTTGATTATAATAATAATTATCCAGAGTGATGGACTTATTAAATCGACTCCAGGCTGAGGGACTGTTTACCTCACACTCCTGATGTTCACCATTCATTCTTTGTATAGGACTGATGAAGTCACTGTGTGGCGAAACGTATTCACAATAAAGATACTTATCTACACTCTGCTGGATGTTACAATGAGTCACACAGACCACAGCCAGGCTAAACATTTAATGAATTGGGCATCAAATGGTGCATGTATATTCATTTTTTTTTTTTTTTTGTGGACGGAGGATTTAACTTCAGGTGAAGAAAAGAGACTTTCTGTAACTGTACATTGAATCAATTGTGAATAATAATGAAATATTACGAATATGTGCATGAAATATGTTGTATGAGACAAGTAAGAAAATGTATCACTAATTCTAAATATAAAATATATGTAAAACTGATTGACAACTAATGTTTTCTAAAGCAATGAATCTTCTACATTTGGCAGCTCAGTTATCTTGTATAATATCATGGAATTCTAGTCCCTAGGCTATAACTGAATTTATTTTAATATACGTATAAAAATTACACTATACAACAAGATTTGTGATAAGTGCACAATTTTATTCGGTTGGGTTTTCAGTGATAATAATCGAAAAGAGTGTATGAGTATTTTCCGGTGATGTTGGCAGCGGCCATGCGGAGTGTGAGAGGCGGGCTGAGCAAGTTGTCAGTGTCAATGTTCCTCTCGTACGTTGTACTCTCACACCTCCCCACTCTAACGAATTAATGAAAATGTGAAAGTGCTTTTGTGATTCTGTTTAGATATTAAGATTGTGTTCAATTGATTGTAAATGATTAATTAATGATAGTGACGCCTACAGAGGAGGCTTTCAGTGTTATGATGTGAGTGTACTGATGTGATTTTTAGCACATCGCCGACGGTCCAAAATGGCATCAGACTCCGTAGAGGAACTCATGAACAGCGCCCTGGTGACATGGGTACGTCAACTCCAGAGTATTATTACAGATAGTGTTGCTGGAGGGGTGGGGAGGTAATGTCAGCGTGGAACAATGGGTGGAGGTCATTGAATGGAGGTTCGCGCGCTCCCTCATACACTACTTACGGCTGTTACCCTTCCTTCACAATTAATGTTTTCCTAATAATAAATATACAAAGAACGATACAGTCAACTTTGAAAATTTTTTCCTACAGGGACATATTATCTCGCACTTCATTTTTTTTAAATTTGTATTCTCGTTTGTTTTTCTCCAGCAAGGTTGTAATGATGTGTATTATAGCGGCGAGTATGTTCTTACCCGGCACAGCAGCAGCAGCAGTGGTGGCAGCAGTCTGCCTGCTACCTACCTGCCTGGCGTACTGCTGCTGTACTTCTACAAGCATATATACACAATGCATACATAAGAACATAAAGGAGGAACAGTGCAGCAGGCCTGTTGGCCCATACTAGGCAGGTCCTTCACAATCCATCCCACCAACAGAACACTTGGCCGTATATATACATATACAAACACCTTCATAAAAATACACACACATATATGGTGTTTTTCTAAACACCCCCACACATACAGACACAATTGGAAGCTGAAAACTCAGATGAGTCATAGTGATATTAGGAAATATTTCTTTAGCCTTAGAGTTGTCAGGAGGTGGAATAATCTGGAGAGTGAAGTAGTGGAAGCAAGTTCCATACATAGCTTTAAGAAGAAGTATGATAAAGCTCATGGAGCAGGGAGAGAGTGAATTAGTATCGACTAGTGAAGAGACGGGGCCAGGAGCTATGAATCGACCCCTGCAACCACATATAGGCGAGTACATACATACAAATGCATATATACCATATACATACACACAAACATGCATATACATACAAATACACACACACATTGTATAAATGGTTTAGAAAACTGACAAATTGATAAATAAGACACTTGTGCTACATTTGGGTATCTTTATTGTGGGAACGTTTCGCCATCCAGTGGCTTCAGTCCATTGGACTGAAGAAGCCACTGGCTGGCGTAACTTTTCCAGACTAAAGATACCCCAATGTAGCGCTACACAAGTGTATCATCGCACACAAAACAACCTCTCGGCCACCTAGTGTTTAACACTGTGATCTAGGATTAAGGCAACTCGTTTGCCAGACTAGTGTAAATAAATTGTTGGAATAACCTGTGTTATACTATCGGTCAAAACATCACGGACAGCGTTAATATTAAATACTATTGCCAGAGATAGGTCGAGTGAAGATAGGCTAGAGATGTTCGGAAAGGACAGGCAGACGTTCCAAGATGATTTGAATACACTACAGACGTGGTCAGGCAAGTGGCTGCTAGAATCAAATCTGTCTCCAGTTTAATAATGTGCGCGAGAGACGATAGGATTTATTTTGAAAATCTACAAATGATTTTAGTGATTAATATTGTAATACTGATTTATATTACGTTTCTTAGGACAGTTGTACTTTGTGCAGATTTAACCAAGGACACTCACACGAAGCCAATGGATATAAATGTGTTGGAAAACGTACAAAGAACATAAAGAAGGAACACTGCAGCAGGCCTACTGGCCCATACGAGGCAGGTCCAAGTCTCCTACCGGCTTAAGCCAATGCCCCAACCTAGTCAGGTCAGGTCACATTCACTTAAGGATGGAACACGGCAACTGACCTAGTAGCACAAGCTAATCAGGTCCAACTCACACCCACCCACATCCACTCATGTATTTATCTAACCTATTTTTAAAGCTACACAACGTTTTAGCCTCAATAACTGTACTTGGGAGTTTGTTCCACTCATCCACAACTATTACCAAACCAGTGCTTTCCTATATCCTTCCTGAATCAGAATTTTTCCAACTTAAAACCATTGCTACGAGTCCTGTCTAGGCTAGATATTTTCAGCACGTTATTTACATCCCCTTTATTTATTCCTGTCTTCCATTTATACACCTCAATCATATCCCCCAAATTCTACGTCTTTCTAGAGAGCGCAGATTCAGGGCCCTTAGTCTATCCTCATAGGGAAGGTTTCTGATACATGGGATCAAATTTGTCATCCTCCTTTGTACATTTTCCAGAGAATTTATATCCATTCTGTAATACGGTGACCAAAACTGTGCAGCATAATCTAAATGAGGCCTAACCAAGGATGTATAGAGTTGAAGAACAACCTGAGGACTCCTATTATTTATGCTTCTTGATATGAAGCCAAGGATTCTATTAGCTTTATTGCGAACACTTATGCACTGTTGTCTTGGTTTCAGATTACTGCTAACCAGAACTCCTAAATCTTTTTCGCAATCCGTAATATTAAGATCTACATTATTTAGTTTATATGTGGCATGGTTATTGTCCTGTCCAACATTTAGAACTTTGCATTTGTCTATATTAAACTGCATCTGCCACTTCTCCGACCACTGCATCAGTCTATTTAAATCTTCCTGGAGTGCTCGAATGTCCTCGTCAGAATGAATTCGACGGCCTATTTTGGTGTCATCGGCAAACTTGCCGATGTCGCTCTTTATGCCCTCATCTATGTCGTTTATGTAGATTGTGAACAGCAGGGGGGCCCAACACTGACCCCTGTGGAACACCGCTAGCGACACTTCCCCACTCTGATTTCTCCCCATTTATGCAAACTCTCTGCTGCCTATTTGTCAACCATGCCTCTATCCAGGAAAAAATTTCTCCTCCTATTCCATGTGCTTTAATTTTCCTCAATAGTCTCTGATGTGGGACCCTGTCAAAAGCCTTACTGAAGTCCATATACACAATATCATATTCATTACCATGATCTACCTCCTCAAATACCTTAGTGAAAAAAGTTAATAAATTCGTAAGGCAGGAACGCCCCTTTGTAAAACCATGCTGAGATTCGTTGATTAATTTATGCTTTTCAAGGTGGCTACGAACTGCCTCGGCAATTATTGATTCCATAAATTTTCCCACTATGGAGGTTAGGCTTATTGGTCTATAGTTCGAAGCTAAGGACCTGTCACCTGTTTTGAAAATAGGTATCACATTTGCCATTTTCCACTTATCTGGCACCATGCCAGTTTGTAGTGATATGTTGAAAAGATTAACCAAAGGTGTGCTAAGCTCCTCTTTACATTCCTTTAGAACCCTTGCATACAGTTCATCAGGGCCTGGGGATTTGTTAGGTTTTAATTTATCTATTTGCCTAAGGACCATGTCACTTGTGACCCTAATAGTGCACAGTTTATTATCGTCCTGTTCTACATAATTTATCATTACTGGAATATCGCTGGTATCCTCCTGTGTAAAAACTGAGAGGAAGTATGTGTTAAAAATTCTACACATTTCCTTATCACTGTCAGTGAGCTGACCCGAGGAACTTTTGAGTGGGCCTATCTTGTCCCTGATCTTACTTCTGTATACCTGGAAGAATCCTTTTGGGTTAGTCTTCGATTCTCTTGCAACTTTAACCTCATAATCTCTTTTTGCTTTTCTAATTCCCTTTTTTATTTCTCTTTTTAACTGAATATATCGATTTCTCAATTGCCCCTCTCCTCTTTTGATTTGTCTATATATGCCTCTCTTTTGACCAATCAGATATTTTAATCTATTGTTCATCCATTTAGGATCATTTTTGTTTGATCTGATTTCCCTATTTGGAACATAATTTGACTGAGCAGCTAGAACTATGCCCTGGAAAGCATCATATCGGCAACCATCATCACCTACCTGACCCTTAGTCAGGTCATTCCAGTTCAGCCCACCTAAGTAATTTTTCAGTCCTATGAAATCAGCCAAGCGAAAGTCAGGGACAGAGACTTGATTGCCATTATTAGGGGAATTCCATGATATATTAAAACTGAGTGATTTGTGATCACTTTCCCCAAGCTCATCATTAACCTCAAGATTATTAATTAGTGTTTCCCTACTGGCAAGAACCAAGTCAAGGAGGTTATTTCCCCTAGTTGGCTCTGTCACAAACTGTTTTAAAAAACAATCCTGGATCGTATCAAGAAAGTCACCTGACTCTAAATTTCCTGTCAAATTGCTCCAGTCAATCTGTCTATAGTTGAAATCTCCCATTAGCACAACGTTTTCGTATGTAGATGCCTTACGAATTTCGTCCCATAGAAGTTTACTGCACTCCCTATCAAGATTTGGGGCCCTGTAAATCACACCCAAAATTAGTTTTTCTCGGCCCTCGAGAAGCTGTAACCAAACAGATTCAGTGGCTGACGCTTCTAATTTAATATCTTGTCTAACACAACAATTTAAATTGTCTCTGACATACATCGCTACTCCACCACCTTTCCTGTTGACCCTGTCAGTGTGGAATAATTTATAGCCTTGTATGTGACATTCAGAGGGCATCTCTCTATCTTTCAGATTGAGCCAGGTCTCTGTTATAGCAATAATATCTATGTTTCCTGCACTTGCAATTAATCTTAGCTCATCTATCTTATTTCTTACACTCCTGCTATTAGTATAGTAAACCTTAAGGGAGCTAGTCCCTTGCTGCCCTCTGCTGTCCCCCTTTGTTTGCTGACCTGATCTATTGTCTTTATTTATAACTTCATGCTGAATGCCTTTTATACATTTACTGTTTCCAACCCAAGTGTTGCAACCTGCTTGTTTCCCACACACACCCATACCTCTATCTTCCATCAGTTTAAAATCATAGGCATTTCACCAATGGCCTTCTCAATCGAGTCTGCAAGTGCTACCACCCCTGCCCCAGAGAGATGTACCCCATCCCTTGCATACATACCATGTTTGCCATAAAAGTTGTTCCAGTTGTCAATGAATGGGATTGCAAGTTCCTTGCAGTATCTGTCTAGCCAGCAATTTACACCAATTGCCCTAGACAACCATTCATTTCCTACTCCCCTTCTAGGCAAGATGCTACATATGATTGGATCCCTCCCTTAGACTTAATGAAATCTATAGCTGACCTGTACTTATCTAGCAGCTCTTCTCTCATACCCTTCCCAATATCATTTCCAC